TGCTGAATTGTGACAAACCCAGCCTGGTTCCCCAACCTTCCAACACAGATCCTGCTTCTGGAAGCAGAGTTTGACAGATCAGCTGCTCACTGGCCTGGGAATATGTGGCTGGCCATCCATCACTGGATAAGTATAAAAGCCCAGGTCAAACCTTCATAGAGCAGATTCTTCTACAGACTTTGTTGAAGTGTGTGGAGCTTCTGCTGTGAAGCAGGGACGCCTCTTGATGGTCACTGCCCAGGGGGTAAAAGAAAGAGAGAGATGCCTTGATTTATTCCTACCAGACACCGCCGGGCCCTCCCCGCTTCCTGCCCAGTCCCGGTTATTGGGGGGCAGTGGAGGAGGGGCTTGGGGGAATCCCAAGGGGTGGAGCTGAGTTTGGGGGGGGCAGAACCGGCCTGAGATGGATCGAGAATGGGGATCCCCCTGTGTCCCCCCGTGTCAACCCGCTCTGGGTGGGATTAGGGAGGGCACCTGCCCCTCAATAAAGCACCCAGCTCACACCAAAAGGTGCTGGGACCCCGCAAAACCTCCCCACGGCCCCTCAAGGACTCCCAAACACACTCAAAGCCCACCCAGGACCCCACCTAACCCCTTTTCTGGGGTGCTGGGGGCTGCTGGATTCAATCTCAGCCTTGGATTCTGACAACAGTTTCAGTTTAGAGGAATTACAGAGGTGTGACTGAAACACCTTTGTCCCCCAGGTTTTAATGATGGCAAATCAGATCTATTGATAGAAATGAGTTATTTAGGGATACAAATGATCAGACAAAAGATCTTCATCAGAATTATTTACTGCACAATAGAAACACTAAAACCACCATGAGCACAAGATAGGACAGTGCTCTACACTAAAGCAATTCTTGAAGCAATTCTACTCAAGCTGGCACAAAAGCACTAATTCTTAATTAAAGATGGATGGAACTCCCCCAGACCAAAGCTCCTGGGGAGATCTCTGCTCTCAACCTCCAGAACTGACCTTGGGGGGTCCCCAGCCAAGGCAGGAATCTCCACACACACCCCCAGGAAGGGTTCTGTTGGAAGAAGCTGCCCCTGGGAAAGGGGACTGGCCCTTTGTGGTCGAAAGGGATGGACTGACAGTCACTGGACTCCAGGGGTTGCCTCAACATCAGGGGCTTCATTCGGGGTGGAAGCAGCAACCGAGGCTCTTCCTGCAGTCGGGGCACTGGTAGGACTTCCCTTACTGGTGGGTCTGTTGGTGTCTGGTCAAGTTAGAGCTCTGGGTGAAGCTCTTCCCACACTCCCCACACTTGTAGGGCCTCTCCCTGGTGTGGATGCGACGGTGGGTGACGAGGTGGGAGTTCTGCTTGAAACCCTTCCCACAGTCGGTGCAGCGGAAGGGCCTCTCATCCGTGTGTGTCCGCTCATGCAGGAGGAGACTGGAGCTGGTCGGAAACCTCTTCCCACATTCCCCACACGTGTAGGGCCGTTCTCCAGTGTGAATGAGCTGGTGGGCACAGAGATGGGAGCTGTTCCTGAAGCTCTTCCCACATTCCCCACACGTGTAGGGCCGTTCCCCAGTGTGGATGCGCTGGTGTTGGATCAGGTCGGAGCTGTACCTGAAGCTCTTCCCACATTCCCCACACATGTAGGGCCATTCCCCAGTGTGGATGCGCTGGTGTTTGCAGAGGCTGGAGTTGTGCCTGAAGCTCTTCCCACATTCCCCACATGTGTAGGGACGTTCCCCAGTGTGGATGAGCTGGTGTCGGATCAGGGTGGAGCTCTGGTTGAAGTTCTTCCCACATTCCCTACAAGTGTAGGGACGTTCCCCAGTGTGGATGTGCTGGTGCTTGAGGAGGTTGGTGCTCTTCCTGAAGCTCTTCCCACATTCCAAGCACCTGAAGGGCTTCTGCCTGCTGGGAGGCTGCTCAGGAACCATCAGGTCGCAGCTCCGCCTCAAGCTCTGGCCGCCTTCCCAGCACAGGCTGGGTCTTTCCTCCTCAGAGCACCCTGGGCTGGCTTTGGA